AAAAAAAAAAAAAGAAAAAAAGGAAGAAAAAAGTAAAAAAAATCACAGTGTCGCATAACGTGACGTGTTTAGTTCAACTATGTATCAGAACGTATCGCAATCTCCGACATCTTATTTATTAATAATAAACGTTTCCCCTCTCTCTCCGCGATGGGACACGTCCGCGAGGAAAAATGCAATTCGAGGAGATGGTCGCGTCTCTGTCACGCGTTGCTGTACGATGAAACGAGAAATTAGATATTAGACGAATATTTCGGGAAAGGCGGAGAGAATGTTTAGTCGCGGCCTTCGCCTGGCTCTTGTAATTTCTATCCTACGTTCACCACGCGAACAGGAATGCTTTTACGGAAGCTCTGGAGACTTCCGATAGTGCTTTTAGGGGCATTTTATTTGATTCCTACCGAAAAGTGGAGCAAAGAAACGCGGCAGGAAGGAAAAGTGGGTACGGCACGATGCTATTACGGATACAAGAGATTCGTTCGTATCATTTTGTACGGATTAAAAAACTTGTAACTTTTGCGCCCCGTATTCCGTAAGGCCAATTCAAACTTGCTCTTCTACGCCTCTTCTCGCCGCTGCGATTGGGTGAAGAGCGCTGCTACTCCCGGTTTCTAAAGGGAAAGCGAAGAAAAGAGAGGGAGAATATCTCGTTTGATTCTTACCGAAACTGGAATACAGAAAGGCAGCGAGGAAGAAGCAAAGAACAATGTCCCGCGATGCCATACCATAGAGTAAGGCCATACGCCATACGTAACGCTGGAACAAAAATTATTTATTCCCTCTTCAGGTGGCAAACAATCATTTGAAATTGATTATATCTTATCTCGCGGAAGTTTCCGAGTTTAACTCGATTAATCGAGGAGACGGATGAACGAACGTTTCGTTTTTTTCAAAGTTTCAAGCTTCCTCTTTTTTATTTACAAGTCACATTCATAGTTTATATATCAGCAACGACCTTGTTAACTTACCTTGATTAGCTTTTAACGTTCCATATAATTGTGGAAGCCCTTGGACATATCATTCGCTCGCAAATAGCTGTGGCAAGATATGAATTCGATTCAAGTTAATTCAATTTCAATTTATATAGAATGATATTCGATGAATCACCTCCAATTCACATACACACACACAGTCGACCGACGAATCCGCGTTAATAGACGCAAATAATCTGCTGCGAAAGTCTAACGCCGATTACCATAACTTCCCGGCCTCTGGTGGGGGGAATGCAGTGCCCCACTGTACAATGCAATGCAGCAATATATACGCCAATCGTTTGAGAAGGAACCGAGCAGGAGAAGACGCGTAAACGCTCAGCCCGGCCGGGGGTGAAGGCGAGGATGAAGAATTTCGCATAGCCGGTTTCACGGGGCGCGGGTTCGACAAGGGTGGCGGCGCGGGGTCAAGTTGAATCGCGTGAATATTAACTCGACAGTTGGTCGCCACATAAACGCCAACCGTTGATATATCCCATCCTCACCCTCCTGCAGCCAGCATCGCAATAATACTCGAATAGTGGGCGCCTGCTGCCTCTGCTCTTCCCTTTTCAGCCGCCTCTACCCTTCGCCGAGTATCCTCTGCGACCCCACTGCGAGAGCCGCGGCCCGCGCGAAATACGCACACTCGCGCGACCAACCAGAGCGCGCGCGAGGCCGACGTTTGCACGTACAGAGGCCGGTCAAATGAAAATTTCGCTCGTGCCGAAGCCTGCCCTTTATGACTTCGGGCCACGTTTCTCTTTGCGTCGTTGAAAATTACGCCGCGGCTGCGGTATTTAACTTAAATAACCCTTTGCCTACCGCTGACCGACCGGTTTCCCAGCGACAACGACACGACAACGGTCTGAGTTTAGAGGGAGGAAAAGCCACCGGTACGCTTAAATACTTTCAAGAGAATCTAAGTAGAGTTGAAACGTCCGTAGACGATAGATTTCGATAGACATAGAAACGAACGTGTAATTGATCGTTCGTAAAGGCAGTTTCCTTAGCACAGTTTCTGGTCTCAGTAGTACAGTGGATATATACTATATCGCGATGCTTGGTGCGTTATTCGTGTCTCGTTATTTATGATAGATCGCGTCATTCGAGCAGTGATAGTGCGCGCTGATGATATTTTGTTATTAAGTTGAACACTCGGGTATCCAGCGAGTGAATAGCAGCATAAGGATATCGATCCCCGAAAAATTCGACGCGCCGTGCCAGCGACCGTGCTAACATCGTCTGAAATATTAAAAGGAATTTCTTTCGTGCGCGTATGATGCGCGTAGGACAGAGGGGACAGGGGGCGAATATATCAGCGAGCGGTCTGTGTACATTTGACGGGGAGACCGCGGCGGGAGAAGCAAATGAAAGTGCGCGAGTCCGGTACGAAGTTAAACCTTTAAAAATTCGCCCGCGCTTTCCCCCGGTACGATAGGTAACCCGGACAGACGAAAATTACGGCAGCGCCGACGCTGTGAACCACGACGGCCCGACATGCATACATATTCCCGTTAAACAGTCCTGCGAAAGTGCATCGCGTTTCACTGGACTGCTGCTTTTTAGGCGGATATGCGAGGCAGTCGAGTGGTGGCCATCAACCAGCGGCCGCTTTTTGTTACCTCTTTTTTTTTCGTTGTTTTTACAATATTTACATGAGGCGGGGGACAACGTCGTAGACAACGGAGACAAGGGGAGGGAAGCTTTTAGCGATTACATTCTCGCGTGGTGATTCTGAGAAGGCGAATCGTTGGCGAGGAAGGATGGCTACGCGAGCTACCTAAGCGCAATTAACAATCGTTTCGCGGCCCCGAAACGAAGAAGAAATGGAACGGGCGAAAAGAATTTTCAGTCGCAACGTAAAACTGAGCTGGATTAATCGAGCTGGAAATTGCAGCTGCCTGGCCGGGGCTTGGCAAATAGAAACGTAATCGTAACCGGCTAAACTCTCCCTATATGTGTAAATATTATTCACGAGCGTGATAACCGCT